TAAAAACAAAAGACTTGAACTGCTTGTTGAAATGTTTGACAGAATAATTGAACATTAACATGCTTGGTTTTCATACACACACTATTATACCAAAGTTTGGACACTTACTGAATTTATGCTTCTCAGGACCTGAAAACCTTTTGATTCACTTAAACTTAAATGCTTGAATTTATTTTTTGACTTTTTATTTGACTTTTATTATTTTAAACAAAAAGTAAGTTTAACCTAAATAAAAGGTTAAGAAAAGGTTTTACTGTATTTCATTACAATTTTTGACCACAGAGTGAAGGAAAAGTGGTCAACAAGTGTTCATCACACGTCAACTCTTTTAGCACAGTTTAAAAATGACCCCAGCATGCACCTCATGAAGTTGAGGTTACAATAGAATAGAGTGTGCAGAGCTGTGATTGATGTAGGTCATAAAAGAGGCTGCTGAGGTATTTGTTTAGTGTATAATGGTAGACTTATCAAAGGATCAGAAGAAAAAGTTAAACAATGTGTAATGCTACACTGTTCCCACCCCTCAACAAAGTGTGTCAGAAAAGGGTGTGCGTTAACGGCTCAGAAATACGCCAAAGAAATGACTGTGCAAACAGCTGGTTGGCAGATTGCCCTGCTCAGATAAAGCATGAGTCTGCTGATATAACATCATAGTTGCTGGGAGGTCTTTCTGCTCGCCACTCACGCAACAGCTTTTGAAAGACATTTCAGTGGATTTTACCACCATCTAGTGATGCATGAAAAACTTTTTTTACTTGTTAACTATAGTGTTTCCTTTTCTTCACAAATTGAACCCTCTTTTTGTCCCATTGTAGAGAGTATGTAAAGTAAGCTGAGATGAGATAAGAAGGACATGGAACAACATGCTAGAATCACCTCATGTGCAGGCAGGAGGGGATATCAGTCTGTACATCAAGTCTCTATCCCAAGAGTACCTAACCCAGGTGTCAGAACGCTTCACATTCATGTCATGACACATAAAGGCAACACCTACGGTGGCCGAGAAGTGCAAATCACAATTCTGAAAACAAAATAACAAATTACAAACGCAAATGCAAGTCTAAAAAACAAAATAACAATTCAGACCATCAGCTCCAGTGGTGCAGATGGATAAGCATGTGTCATTGGCTTTTTGACGAGATCGACCGGGGTTCGATCCCGCCTTTTGCCGAACTTTTTTTTTCTCACTTTTCAAATCTCGTATCACATCGTAAAGGCATTTATTTTCAATAAAAATTAAGGAAATAAGGGAGGGGAAAAAAAGTTCGGCAAAAAACGGATTGAACCCGGGTCGATCGCATCAAAAAGCCAACGACACACGCTCATCCATCTGCACCACTGGAGCTGATGTTTTACAGCCACTTTTAACATGGCGCTGTCTCAAACTATACCTACCTCTTCCGGTTTGTCTGATTTGTGGTTGTGTTTTCTGACTTGTTATAATGTTTTCTGAATTGTTGTTGTGCTTTCTGAATTGTTATTTTGTTTTTTAGACTTGCATTTGCGTTTGTAATTTGTTATTTTGTTTTCAGAATTGTGATCTGCTTTGCACTTCACGGCCACCGTAAACACCAGCTTTGAGATGTAATTGCCAGCAACTACAATAAAAAAGTGAAGTTTATGAAGATGAAAAACACATTATGAAATTTCACTACAGAGTTCACTACAGAGTCATTCCTTATAGCTGGATATTAATAAAATTAAAATATAATACTAAAATAAAATTTATTTAATTCATAGACTGTTCTCAAAATAAATAAATAAAATAAGATAATAAATAAATAAAATAAAAATAAATATTCTTCTTCTTTTTTACGACATTTCCATGACTTTTATAGGTCTTAAAAGGATGGATAAAGGAAATTAGCCAAACTAAGTATGATTTCACCAGATACATCAAAATTATGACAATGTTATATTATAAGGTTATATCATTTAATAATAAATAAGGTTACAAAAAGTAATATATTTAAAATACATTTATTTCATACTAAGTATAGTTCAAATCTATTACAGTTTTTTACGATTGTTTACACACTAAAATAAAAATTTCCACACAATTTGCAAAATTCTACTCCAATGAGCAAAACACCTCCACAGATTTGCACAACATTACACACAATGTCTGCTTCACCCTTTTTGCAAAACATTACACACAGTGATTTGTAAAACTCTACACACATTTTCACACCTTAGACACAGATAAGGATTGTGAGGTTACTTCCTTGTCATTACAAAGCCCCGGATTGCCAATGACCACACTAATGAACGAATTGGATAATCACATCCACCAGGTGTGGAAGCACACATGTGCTAATTTGAAAACGCAGAACTCAGGTGTGCTATAAAAGGCAGCAGGTGAGTTCACCTGTCTTCAACAAAAATGGAAGGAGCTAGAAGAAGAAGAAGAAGAAGAGTGAGAAGAAGAAGAAGAAGAAGAAGAAGAAGAAGAAGAAGAAGAAGAAGAGTGAGAATGAGAGGGGGAGCTCAAAGAGGAGATGAAGGAGGTAGAGGAAGAGGAGAAGGAGGTAGAGGAGGAGGCCCAGGTAGAGGAAGATTTTGCAAACAATCTAGGAATTATGCAAATTGAGTGTGGTGTTTGGATAATTGTGCTTATATTGTGAAAAAAAAGAACCCGGTTTTCAAAATTGCGTGTAAACAATTGAAAAAAACTGTAACATATTTACTGACATATCGCTTGAGACTTTACTGATATAAAAATTATAATTAAACTGTATTTGGAGTATCACTTTGGAATACAGACCTAAGGTTGGTCTCTTTTTAAAGAAGAAAATCAGCAGATTATTGCAAAAGTGGAATTTCAATTTCAAAATTAAAGAATCAAAAAGTTATAGAAGTTTAAATTTACTGTAAATAAAATGCACTACATTCATGTTATTTTATTTATAATAAATATTTTACATAACCGGTTTTACTGTAAAATTGATATAAAATTAAAGCCTTATGTCTAAATAAGTTATGTTCCAAATTTGCAGTTGAAAAATTGAGGTTCCTGTGAGATTTTATTTAGGGCGTCATACCACAAATAGCCACCGGGTGCCATCCAAACTCCATTGATTTTTTTAAAATGCATTTTTCTGTCACAAATGTCTAGATTTCTCTGTCAATATTACTTCAATATTACCAAATATGGAATCCTGAGACTCAGACCTTTCCAATTATATGTTTTTTGTTAAGATTATAAAAAGTTTTGTTTGTAAAAGACCGTAATGCATTTTGTAATATGACACTTGACACTGCCCACTAAGGGGGAGGAGACCGCCAAAAGATTTTAAAGTACCATTTCCATGGTAACGCAATGTCCGATTTCAAAATGGTTTTCACAGGATGAATCTTAGGCTTATAAGCTTTAATTATTTATAAATGATATATAATTTATGATGATTACTAAAAGATTTGATAAAGAAAAAGAACAAAAAAAAAAGAGCGCCAAGCGTCCCACAGGTGGGACGGTGACAGTTAAGGGGTTCCAATTTAGCAGAGTTTAAGTTTAGTAAACTAAAAGTACAGTTGCAGGGTATTTTTATTAAGTACATAAATATGTAAATGTACATTCATGTTATTTTATTTATAATAAATATTTTACATAACCGGTTTTACTGTAAAATTGATATAAAATTAAAGCCTTATGTCTAAATAAGTTATGTTCCAAATTTGCAGTTGAAAAATTGAGGTTCCTGTGAGATTTTATTTAGGGCGTCATACCACAAATAGCCACCGGGTGCCATCCAAACTCCATTGAATTTTTTTATGCATTTTTCTGTCACAAATATCTAGATTTATCTGTCAATATTACTTCTATCTCAAAATAACCACCAAATATGGAATCCTTTTGTAATATGACACTTGACACTGCCCACTAAGGGGGAGGAGACCGCCAAAAGATTTTAAAGTACCATTTCCATAGTAACGCAATGTCCGATTTCAAAATGGTTTTCACAGGATGAATCTTAGGCTTATAAGCTTTAATTATTTATAAATGATATATAATTTATGATGATTACTAAAAGATTTGATAAAGAAAAAGAACAAAAAAAAAAGAGCGCCAAGCGTCCCACAGGTGGGACGGTGACAGTTAAGGGGTTCCAATTTAGCAGAGTTTAAGTTTAGTAAACTAAAAGTACAGTTGCAGGGTATTTTTATTAAGTACATAAATATGTAAATGTATTTGTAGTATACTTAAATTGAAATAAATGTATTTCAAATACATTTTAGTATATTTATTTTTCACTGTGTGTATCAATTTTAAAATACACGTTATGTCAAAATTATGACACTGTTGAATAATACTAACTGTTGGATACCGCTGAGACATGAAAGTGGCCCCATTTACACTGTAAAAAACTTAACTTAAAGAAAAAAATAAAGCAAACAGTTGCAAAACATTTTTTAATTTTGCCAACTTTTTCCAAGTTAGACCAGTTGTTAAGCCAAACTAACATTTTAAGTTAAATCAACCTTCATCAGCATGTACAGTAAAACATTAAGTAGGCCTTATTTGTTAAATAGAAACGAGTTCTCAAAATGGTTTAGCTCAATTTACACACATTCAATAATTACACAAACAAAAAAGGAACACAAATCATACTAATGGTGACTTAAACAAATAAAAATGAAACACCAAAAACACTAAATAAACATTTTATCTTTCATTATAAAAGACAACTAAATGTACAGATCCTCATAATTCCCCATGTTTTGACCAACCACATAAAACTAAATTATTCAAGCGCAAGGGATTGTGGGTATTCCAACCAGGCCAGCCACAATGCTTATCAAGTAGATATGCTCAGATGCAAGCTTTATAAGCTTTATTGAAAGCACAGTCAAACTGTCCATTTTACAGGTAAATATTGCAGCATGTGTGTGACAAAATAGAAGTTGGTTTTCTTACACTGTAAGTGCCAGACTGTGTTTTGTCTGTTTGTTTCTCTCTGTGACAGGCTGGTTTAATTCCTCTATACTGTAATCCTATTACATCACACCATATTATTACCGTGATGTAACCATGATGTCCATGGCATTATTATCTGAGACAGTACACAGCAGAGACAGGTACTCACAGCAAACACTCAGGTAAGAATGACATTTTTCTGCCTATTCTGTTGTTTACTATACCTACATACAACAGATTGAAATATTGAATTCGTTACTTAAGCATGTTTCTCCGAGATACTTCTTTCAGTATTACTGTATATGCAGGATGCTCAAACAATACAAAAAATGTGGTGCTTTTGAAACTGCTACAAGGCCTAGTTCAGACAGGACACTATGCTAAAAAAAGAAAGCCTGGTGAGCAATATATTTCACCTAATAATGTTTAATTATGCAAAATAAAACTCAATAATTTGGTGTTTAGGTCTATAAAACTGCAACAACAATATATCTAAATAAATACTGCCTAGGACTTAGATAGACCTGCTGTGCATGGCAACTGCAACTAGCACTTTTGCAAATGGAACTTGTTGATGAGAGTGGAAATCTGAGGTAATCGACAAAGCAATCTGTAGGAGCTGGATTGAACAAGATTACTTCTGACATATTTCTGACTATGTCTTGTTCGTAGAATCCAGTGTAATAGCTGATCAGCACATTTCTTTGCTATGCTCGCATGCACATTGGTAGTGTTTTGAGAAAACCACATAAATGTAGGTGGTTTGTTTAGATTGAGATGCTCAACATTTCCTTATTCAGGTTTATGTACGTGTAGCATTAGTACAATACTTTTACACACAAGAAAACATTACTCACACCAATATAATCTGATTCTAATTCTAATCCAACACTATAAGAAAGTAATCTGCTAATTCCACCTCAACCTGGATAATTGTAACATACTCTGACAGTGTCAAGAGCTCATGCAACAGAAATAAAATCGACTTTGATTATGAAGACTTACTGCACTAGCGTAACCCATCATAACATAAAACTTCCCATATGTTTGTGCATCTCATATCGTCTGGAAATATAAAATCAGGTCATTTCTTAGAGGAAGTTGCACAAACTGGGCATATTCAGATGGAGCAACAACTTACTATTATTTAAACTGAAACCACAAGCACAAACAAATGAATAAAGACAAAAAAATGTCTCATAGGAACTGTAATTTCTATCATCAGGTCTCCTTCAAGGATTCATCATGTCAGGTTCACCTGAGATTGAGGAACTACCAGCAACACAAACAGGTGAAAAAAGATTTCATTACTGATATCGAAACAAGGAAAGAATCTACTTTCTAGAGTATCACACTGATTGCAGAACACATCCTGCTAGCTATTCATTATTTTACAGTAATGATGAGGCAATACTGGAGATTTCACTCATTATGCTTTGATACACCCACGATTATCTGTAATTAAAGAAACTGATTTAACATGATTTATCCATCAATCCACTGATTGAAATGACAAATTCAGATCTTAAATGACAAAACACCTTTGCATCTCAGGGCCCAAAGGTGTGATCCATGACTGGAGGAAGTTCAAACTTGAGAGTGAGGACCATGAAAGCGTCCCTCCAAACAAGAGAGAGCTCCTCAGACAGATGTCCAACCCCAAACCCAGTAATGATGACACCCAGGAAAAACTCAACCGCAAGGTAACAGTAAAAAATTCCCAACTGACATCTACATACAGTATATAACAAGCACAATAAAATGAGTCATTTTAATTCCAAATACATCCCATAGCTTACCAGCTTGTACATAGCTACTCATTCTGTATAATTAATATTTTCCACATTTTTAAATGATAGTAAAGTCATCAAAACTGTGAAATAACATAAAATTATGCAATGATCAAAAAATGTTAAGTAAATATTCATGAGGTAATCACAGTACTTTAAAAATGGTGTAAACTACATTACTATTTCTAAAAACTGGGGTTGGTAAGATTTTTGAAAAAATGTTTTATCTCTTATGCTCACCAAGGTTGCATTTATTTGATCAACAATATATTCCTGTGATGGCAAAGCTGAATTTTCAGCAGTCAATACTCCAGGTGTCACATGATCCTTCAGAAATCATTCTAACATGCTGATTAGGTGCTGAAGGAACATTTGTTATTATTATCAATGGTGAAAACACCCTTGCTGCTGAATAATTTTGTGGAAACCACAAAATATTTTTTAAGGATTCTTTGATGAACAGTTCAAAACTACATAATTTATGTGAAACAGAAATAGTTTGGAACACTTTTGTTCGTTTTAATGCATCCTTGCTAAATAAAGTATTAATTTCCTTCTTTAAAAAAATCTTAATGACCCCAAACCTTTGAATGGTCCTGTATATGCTTTTCCTTCACTATTTGGTCTAATAACCATTAATTAAATTAATTTTTTTTTAAAAGTAAAAAAAAAAAATGTAAGTTTTGTAAAGAAATTCATACATAAAGACAATTTATAATTGAGAGTAAATACAAAACTAAACGTACAGACCTCTGGGGCCATGGTTCAAACATGCACACCGAGTTTCATTCCGATTGGCCTCCGTTAACCTTGTCTAATAGGTGCTCAAAATTCATTGGCTGATGTTTTTTGAGATACATGAAAGTCCTTATAGATGCTTGTGGCACTTTGGCCAAAGACACTGCATACCAATCGGACCAACGGGTGCATAGTTATAGCCATTTTTATGTTTTTTTTTCTCCCTGTTATAGAACCACCAAGTGGCCAGACTCCTCTGCTTTTTTGTCTTTTTACTGTGACCTCAGATTGAGCTCTTACATAGCTCTTCCGAGTTTAGCGAAAATATCTCTGAGTCGAAAGTTCAACTTTTTTGATAATTATTTATATTCACCATCTCCAGAGAATCTTTCTGCACTGGTTTCATACCGACCGTGTAACCTAGGACTAGTTTGCAAAAGTAGGCTTTATAAAAAAAATAAAAAATACCCCCAAAATTTTATCGAATTTTTTTCGTATTGTTGTCCATTGTGAGCCAAGGATTCCAATGATATAAGACACTTGAGCCTGCAACGACCGGTTTAGGAGTTATATGTATTTTTGTACTTTTTGATCGCTGTAGCGCCCCCGTCAGGCCGATTGGGACGAGCTTTGGTGACATTGTAGACGATGTGAGTACTACCATCCCTTCTAGTTTCCGACTTACGGTTTGGTCTGCCCGATCAGTTTTAGGTGGAGAATGCTGATCCTTGGCCATTCAAGCAATTACAATAAGGTTTCAGCGCTACGTGCTTGAACCCCTAATTTCAAGTGTTTAACACTACACTAACATGTTTTTAAGATAATCAGAATCATTTCAGAAACAATTCAATTAAAGGGGTCATATGATGCTGCTAAAAAGAACATTATTTTGTGTATTTGGTGTAATGAAATGTGTTTATACGGTTTAAAGTTAAAAAAACACATTATTTTCCACATACTGTACATTATTGTTTCTCCTCTATGCCCCGCCTTTTTGAAACGCGTCGATTTTTACAAAACTTGGTGGCTGACTAAATACTTTTTTGCCCCACTGTATGTGGGGGCGTGTTCGAACGAGCCGTTTTAGGTAGGTGTGGCTAACTCTTAACTTTTATAAAGAATATCTCTTTGGATTTGAGACTTTAGTCTTTGCAACTTTACAGATCTTCTTTATGCACCAAGAGCTTGTAACACTCTAAAGAGAAAGGAAAAAATGAAATCGCATCATATGACCCCTTTAAATTTGTCGACTGGCAGTGTAGGAGTTGCTTTGCGTGTTTATTAAAATTGCTATGTTGCTATGTCTGACCACATGCAGATGAGCGTTCAGGAGTACGAAATGATCCAAGAGGAGGACGAAAGGTGTCTGCATAAGTATCGCAGGCAGTGCATGCAGGAGATGCACGAGCGCCTGAGTTTTGGGCCTAAATTCGATGCCGTGTTTGAGTTGGATAGTGGAGAGGCCTTCTTGGATGTCATCGAGAAAGAGCACCATCTGACCCTAGTGGTTGTGCACATCTATGATGACGGGATCAGAGCATGTGACGCTCTCAACAACTGCTTGACTTGCCTGGCAGCAGAATATTCCACTGTCAAATTCTGCCGAATCCGAGCCTCTGCCACAGGAGCGGGTGAGCGTTTTTCAGATGACGTTCTTCCCACCCTGCTGGTGTACAAGGCTGGAGAGCTGCTGGGCAACTTTATGTGCATTACAAAGCATCTGAATGAGGAGTTCTTCGCTACGGATGTGGAGAACTTCCTAAGTGAGTACGGCCTGCTGCCAGAGAAAGATTTTGCAGCCTGTCCTGTTGAGGAAGAGAATGCAGACGTGGAATAATTGAGGAAATTCAAAGGGTGGAAGTGAATTATATTAGTCAACCTGTCTTGTTTCAGAGATAGATGGAGTAATGACGCTCTGACTGGGCCATGACTTCAACAAACACGCACACCTCAAGGCATTTGCTAACACGTGATTTACAGCGGTTAAATACTTAGTGTTATCAAAGGCACAGTCATGGTCGTTTCATTTGCCAGGGTTCCCACAAGGTTTGACTAATGAGTTTCCGTGACTTTTCCATGCCCTTTAGCTTGTGATTCCTGGATAAGGATAAAAAAACAAAAAAACATTCAAATTTAGATTTACTCACTGATGAATCATTTTGACCGATTTATGAAGCAGATTTGCAGTGAAAGTGAAAAGACTCGCAAGAAAGATTTGTCAGATCCACAGGGAAGTTCTCCACTGTATCACGACGCAGTGCTTTGGTCGACTCAAGTTTAAATGCTGACTTGATATGCTTTCCCAATCCCGTTCCCCTGCCTCTCCTCAAATCTAATATGTGAACCTGGACCACAAAACCAGTCATACGGGTACATTTTTTGAAATTGAGATTTATACATACTGATAAAAAATAATATTGGTAAAAAATTGCCTGAATGCACTGTAAGTTGCTTTGGATAAAAGCGTCTGCTAAATGCATAAATGTAAATGTAGTAATGTACTGAAATCTGAATAGACAAGCTTTCCATTAATGTATGGTTTGTTAGGATAGGACAATATTTGGCTGAGATACAACTATTTGAAAATCTGGAATCTGAGGGTGCAAAAAAAAAAAAAAAATCTAAATATTGTGAAATCGCCTGCCTTAGTGATTCGGAATAAGACAAAAACGCGGTTTGGAAGATTAATTCATGATGTACTCGTTCATTATATACATTTTGCAAATTTTTAACACAGAAAAAGTTACATTGTGCTGCTTTAAAGTTGTCCAAATGAAGTTCTTAACAATGCATATTACTAATCAAAAATTAAGTTTTGATATCTTTATGGTAGGAAATTTACAAAATATCTTCATGGAACATGATCTTTACTTAATATCCTAATGGTTTTTGGCATAAAACAAAAATCGATAATTTTGACTCATACAAAATGTATTGTTGGCTATTGCTACAAATATAACCGTAGGCCTACTCTTATGACTGGTTTTGTGATCCAGGGTTACATATGACTATTTAAGGCAACAATGCCCAAAAAATATTATTTAAATAACGACGAGGGAAAAAAAGATTCACTCACAAATCGAACATTATTATGGTTTGCGAAGAAGCTGATGGAATATTTTATTAAGGAGATAATATACACTATGTTCACAGGTTTGGGGTCAGTATTTTTTTTAAAGAAGGTAATACCTTCATTCATCAAGAATGCATTTAATCGATCAAAATGATTGTAAAGCCATTTATAATTTTACAAAAAAAATTATTTCAAATAAATGTTTTTTTTTTTTAAAGCATTATTCCAAGCATCTAAGGGTTTGCACAAAAAATATTAGGCAACACAACTGTTTTCAATACTGACATTAAGAAGAAGTGTTTTGTGAGCACCAAAAACAGAATATTTCAATGATTTCTGAGTGATCATGTGATACTGTAGCAATGGCTGCTGAAAAATTAGCTTTGCTATCACAGAAATAAATGACACTTTAAAATATATTTAAATAAAAGCTACTTTCATTTGTAATTCACTCAATATGACCGTTTTACTGTATTTTTGATCAAAAGAAACGTCTTTCAAAACATACCGACCTCAAACTTTTAAAAAGTAGTGTACATTCATTACAGAAATGGAATTGTTTTCAGGTCTAGAAAACAGAATACAATTGTCTGGTTTTCTGTGATAATGGGAACTCTGATTTGCAGAGAATGAGAGTAGCCATCTTATTTAAGCATGCTTAGGCTTGCCACATGAAAGTCAAACTGTCACACTGTTCTTGTCATCCTTTGTGTATCCAGCCGCTATCTGCTTAATGAATAAAACATATGAAATAATGTGATTTCATATGGTGTAATGCTGCACTACATGACATCAGGGTGACTTACTTCAATAAAACACAAGAAAGGCCAAGAACACTCCTCGTTCCTTTATGTCTTCATGACTAGTTTCGTGCTACAAATGCCATTCCAGGTAAAACATGTCCTGACATGTCCTCAACTAAATCACACCAGGATTACTGTGTGTATGAGAGAGTATTCATGTGTAAGTGCTTGTTTGAAGGTGCATGTGAATGTAGTTTTAGGTCAGCGTAACATTGTTAAAACTAAATGACGATGATGATTTTGGTACTTTAGAACAGGGGTCTTTAAAAGGGGGTCCAACAAATATGGTTTGATGTGAAACTAGAAAAAAAGAAAGAAAAAGAAGCATTAACTAAGAACAAACCTAAAGTTCCTCTAAATGTTTCAGTGCCCAATCACATTCAAATGTGAACAATTTTAATGGCTTTGCAATGTAGAAATCATAAAGTATGTATCAACAGCGGATCCAAGGTCTGAAAAATAATCAAGTCCCCTGATTTAGAAGGAAGGAGCGTCATTACCCATTCCATCATCACAAAAATAGTTTCCAGCGATTATATTTCATGCCAAGGGCATTTTCCATTCAGTTAAACTTAATATAACAGTTCCTTTATGCCTTTAAAGGTCCCATATTGTCAAAACTGAAATTTCCTGGCTTTTTTCACGATTACTGCGGTCTAGGGGCTATTTAACTACCATATAAGTTTCAAAACAGTCAGTCCACAGTAAAATTCACACAGCCTGCTTAAAGTTCTAGCTATTTTTCACGAACCGTTGTGACTTCCGTAAAAAGTTGACGTCAGAACTACAGGCACTGCCTTCAGTCACCACCCGAGCACCGCCCACCGTCCCACCCTCCTTTTGCCAAACCCCCAGACAACATCGCGTCCATGCTTTTGCTGAGCAAGGACAACCCCTAGTTACCTGTGATTGACATGGCCGTGCGTCACTCAGAAAACAACAGGCCAATCAGAAGAGATGCTCATGAATATTAATTAGACAGACCAAAATCGACCTGTTCTCAGCAGAGCTCCTGAAAAAAGAGCTGTAAAAATATATTGAGATAGTTTTTGGTACTTATACCGCAAATATATATTCTTAAGGACATCAAAACTTCAAATAAAACTCCAGAAAGGTTTACAATATGGGACCTTTAATGCTGCGCTGTTACAGAAGCCAGAAGAAACTGGTTTGATAATGACAAGACAAATGGCACAATGACAATATACTGAGGGAAGCCACAAACATTCTATAAGAACACGGGCAGGATGACGACAATTAACCTTTTTCTTTTGATCTTTTATTGAGGCTGCATGAGTGCAAACATGCCACTAGTGAGCAATCTTCAAATTAGGAGGAAAGATTCCAAGAAAAAAATCAAAACACATAATTGTAATTTACATTAAGTAACCAGTATATTATTACTCAATTAACAGGTTTGAAATATATATTTTGATGGCCAAATATATGAGAACGTCCACTAATTATTCCACTAATTTCTGCTTCAACTTTTGTGACAGTTTGTGAAGTGTTTCTCAACGAACATTTAATTTCAGAAGAAAATGAACCCATCAGTGGGGTCAGACAGTGAACGTTGGGGACATAATTCTCTAGATTGTAATTGTATAGTGTAACATTAATATTTGACTTGACCCAAATAGCTAAACCTATTGATTATAAGGGAGTCTCCATATACTCTTGCATTGTATTTTGTATATTGTATTTTATATAATCCTATAATAGTCCAAATTTAAAAATTATATTTGAAATCATATTTAACATCATACAGTATATTATACAAACATACACACTCACTCATACAAACATTTTTGCTATTTCCATTAACTGAAATACAGTAGAGATGTGGCTGTGGCAAGGAAAGCAATGGCTGCTGCTATGGCCACACCTGCGTGTTTGAGAGAGAGAGAGAAAGAAAGAGAGAGAGAGGTCATCAGTCATCAGGAGGTGGAAATGGACCAATGGAAATGTGAGAATGTCTCTAGGAATTATAGGAATCACACAAAGAAAAATATGGTCACATCAGGCCAACTAACAACCAACATGGAGTCACTCACACTGTATCATTATACAACCTATTGTTAACTACAGTCAAACCAAAATTAAACTGGTCAGAACAAATTGATAATGTCACATATCTTTGATAGAAAGGTATGTAATGAATTAGGTTGAATAGCTGTCAGCGGTTAAATTTAAGTACACAATTAGATAATACCAATTTATTTCAACCAATTACCAAGCAATGCTTAATTCGGTCGCATTAGCAATTAAAGAAAAAACACTTAAGCAAAACATGGTCATGTCAAAGTGTCTGAATCATTTTTGGTCCCAGATTTTTATTAGTTTTCCACTGTATGAAGAATTATTGGGTATAATATGTCACAGTTTACTTTATTTTACTATCCTCACTTACATAAATGAACTATAACGTCCTGTACCCACTAGTAAAAAAAAATATATACAAAATTATATCTGGTGTCTAAATAATATTTGGTTTGACTGTATATTGTTGAGTCCCATTTAATGGAGGTGGAAATGGACCAATGGAAATGTGAGAATGTCTCTAGGAATTATAGGAATCACACAAAGAAAAATATGGTCACATCAGGCCAACTAACAACCAACATGGAGTCACTCACACTGTATCATTATACAACCTATTGTTAACTACAGTCAAACCAAAATTAAACTGGTCAGAACAAATTGATAATGTCACATATCTTTGATAGAAAGGTATGTAATGAATTAGGTTGAATAGCTGTCAGCTGTTAAATTTAGGTCATCAGTCATCAGGAGGTGGAAATGGACCAATGGAAATGTGAGAATGTCTCTAGGAATTATAGGAATCACACAAAGAAAAATATGGTCACATCAGGCCAACTAACAACCAACATGGAGTCACTCACACTGTATCATTATACAACCTATTGTTAACTACAGTCAAACCAAAATTAAACTGGTCAGAACAAATTGATAATGTCACATATCTTTGATAGAAAGGTATGTAATGAATTAGGTTGAATAGCTGTCAGCGGTTAAATTTAAGTACACAATTAGATAATACCAATTTATTTCAACCAATTACCAAGCAATGCTTAATTCGGTCGCATTAGCAATTAAAGAAAAAACACTTAAGCAAAACATGGTCATGTCAAAGTGTCTGAATCATTTTTGGTCCCAGATTTTTATTAGTTTTCCACTGTATGAAGAATTATTGGGTATAATATGTCACAGTTTACTTTATTTTACTATCCTCACTTACATAAATGAACTATAACGTCCTGTACCCACTAGTAAAAAAAAATATATACAAAATTATATCTGGTGTCTAAATAATATTTGGTTTGACTGTATATTGTTGAGTCCCATTTAATGCCATGATGGAAAGAGAATGATTTATTTTATGAATAAAA